CCCTTAAACCCTAAACCCTTAACCCTTAACCCTTAACCCTAACTTAGGGTTTAGGGGGACCCCCGAGCTCCCGGCCATCCGATGGCAGCTGGAGGAACTTCGCAGCATCCAGGTCCGGGCGGCGCAGGTATCCTGTTTAGGGTTTAGGGTTTAGAGGGTTTAGGGTTTAAGGGGATTAGGGTTTAGAGGGTTTAGGGTTTAGAGGGTTTAGGGTTCAGTGTCGGCGCTTCCAAAAAGGCTCTCCCTCGGCTTCCTGGGGCCTTAAAAGGCGCCGAAAACCGCCAAAAAAATGATTTTTTGGTGATATTTTGTACAATATTTTAAAATAGGGAACTCCCCGAAGAGGTGGGCTTCCGGAGGACTTCTTTTCTTTTCCCGGCTCTCCTTGCCTGCCCTGGTGCAGAGACCTTCCCCCCTCCCCTTTTCCCCTAACTCCGAGGCCTTTAAAAGCTTAAACTTAAGGGCTTTGGGTTTAGGGTTTAGGGTTTAGGGTTTAGGGCTTTAGGAGGGACCCTTAATAGGGACCCTTGTAGGTTGCTGGCTTTAAGGTAATGGGATGAAGGGTCCCTATTAGGGGTCCCTCCTGAAGTCCTTAGATTAAAGCCCCGTCGAAGCATGGTCGTTTTAAGATAAGCCCCTTCCCTAAACCCTAAACCCTAAACCCTAAACCCTGCTTCATAAGGCCTGAGGCACCAAAGCTGCACCCTGCATGCAGAACATGTCCCATCGAGTGTAAAGTTTGAGGTTTTAGGATTTCAGGACAACGGCTTCTCAAGGATCACGGTCATGAGTTGGACCGAAACTTGTGGCGTAGACCTGCGAAGCTTTTACATGCCAATATAGGGGCCTTACTAATTACCTGTATTATTTTCGGGGGCTCCTTATGATACTTATAGTATAATGGGCCCCAAAACCCTATTCTACTCATTAAGGGCCCTATGTTACCCTGCCTGCGACGCCGACTCCGGCGATGAGAAGCTCGCCTGCACGACCGATACATATAAACTTCACCGGGGCGGGAGGATGCCCAAAATAGATGCTTCTGAGAACCTGAGAACATGTAATGTAGGGGCCTTAATAATTAGAATAGGGTTTTTGGGGGTTCTTTATTAGAAGTATAGTATAATCCCTAAACCGTAAACCCTAAACCCTAAACCCAAAACCCCAAACCCAAAACCCTGAACCCTAAACCCTTATAATAT